GAGCTCTTGGACTACGAAAGCGACCCACAGAAAGGTGCCGTTTGCCTTGTGTCGCAGCTCATCTCGCACCTGCTCTCGCCGACTATCCTCTCTGAGCGACTCGAGACGAGACAGCTTGTGGTCGATGTACATATCTACGGCTCGAGCCACCTGCTCTGCGTTATGCTTCACCTCCAGACTCAGCTTTTTTTTACCGCCGACCGACTTGAGCTTATGCTCGATGTGAGCCTCGTTTCGACTCGACACAAGCCACTTTACGCGGGTTGAGGACGCGATGGTGCGGACGATCAGGTCTAGAAGCTTGGAAAGGTCCACTACGCACTCATCAAGAGCGTCCACAACTAGGTAGCTTGTCTTGAGGTCCGCGTCCTGCACCATGCTTGTAAAGATGTCGGACAAGGCCACCCAGGCGTTAGCGTCTTGGAAAAGAGCACCACCTGCTTGATCGTACCTCTTCCGCAGGTGCGACACCAGCGATGGCTGCTGCCTGACGAGCAAGTAGATCAAGCCGCGCAGCACGGCAGTGGTGCTGTTGAGGCGGGAGTCAGTACTTTGGCAGAAGAAGAAAGAGAGAAAGCTGGCCGTCGATTTCTTTAGCTCGTCGACGATACCGCAGAGTAGCATCGTCTTTCCTTTGCCAGCATCGCCTTTAATCCACAGCAGTCGGCTCTGCGCACCATCGCGCCATTGCTGGAAGCTGGCATTGTCGAGGACCCAGCAGTACGAGCCCTGCAGCAAGCCACCCTTTGTATCCTCAATGCGCTTCTTGTCATCGTGAGGGTCGCTAAGGTGCAACTCTTGAAGACACCTGTTCAGGATATTGGCTTCATTCATAAGCCGTGTGAATGCTCCATTGACGCCTTCGCCGTAAAATGGGGTCATCTGGACTCCGAAAATGCCTATCAAACAGTACGCTCGGTCTTCGGGAACTTTAGTCTCCCGGTGTTCGCTCCACTTCATTCGCTCATCGATGCTGAACTGTAACAAAGGAACGCCTCGGAGCGCCGCATTTGGTATTCTCGTCGCTTCCCAGATGTGTGTCTGCAGCGAAGTCTTGTCGCCTAGTCTCCTCCATTCTTTCGAGAAGAACTCCACAGATTCTGGCGCTAGTAGCTCTTGGAGGGTCCAACCCCGAGTGAACCATCGGCTCGCGCGAAAGGCTGCGGCCCAGAGGTACTCACCAAGCCCAGTGTCTGCTTTTTGCTTACTGTACGGGACATCCGACAGGAAGACATAGCATTTGGCCGCGTTCTGGTACCAGCGGAACATGGAGGATATAGCCTCTCGGAGTTCGACCTGATCTGCTTTGTTGATGCAGCAGGTGTCCACCCAGAAATACTCAAGATCATCGCGCTTCGCCTGTTGTGCACAGAACCTTATCTTACTGTAGCCTACTTTGTTCTTGCTGTTGCCCTTGATCAATTCATCGTAAGTCACCTCCTCGCCCTCCTGCCAAGTATGCGAGAGGATCGCATATGGAGGGATTATATCATCGCCTTTCAAGTCCTTTGTAAGGCTAAGCTCCCCAGTGTAATTAAGTCGCAGAAGACGCATTGCTTCGCAAGGAATTTGAACGGGCACATACGGTAGGAATGGAATATCGAAGGCTTAACGGCGACAGCCTAGTTGAAGAGACGAGCACGGCAGCTCGTTCGCCTGTTGAGAATACCAGTCCTAGCTATTGAGGTCAGTGAGCATATAGGAATATAGGGGGCTGAACTATACTGAAGAATCGCATCTGAAAGGGAGACAATGTAAGAGTACTATGAGCTGATTCTGTTGTGCTTTGCTCTATCCTCGAGGCGGGGGTGCGGCTGAATGCACAGCCCACAGTGTGGTGCGGTCAGGCTTCAGTAGAAGGCGAATTTGCAAGTGACTAAGTTAGACTGAGTATATCTTGAGAAATGGAGGAATGCATTGATAACGCTAGCAGGGAGGGCGGCCGACCCGCTCTGGCCATAGGGTTGTGAGCTTCCAGCGATAGAGGCGTATTGTATTACAGATACTAGCAGGAGCTAGGCGGCTTAAGTTGATCTAAAGCGTATGAGGTATAGCTCCCGCTAAGCGAGGCTGACACCCCCTGCTGTGAGAAAGGGCGCGAAGTGTAGATACCGGAAGCCGATTCTGCAAGCGAGTGTACATAGAGACAATAAGACTATGCGGTCTTGTACGGGAAAAAAACGGGGACCCAAGGCTTGAGGCGTAGGATTAGATGGTGGCGTTGGGATGCGTGAATGATATATTTTCTTTGTTTGTTTGGTATGTAAGGGGTTGGTGGGTATGCGGAAAGTAGGTGTCTGGATTTTCTACAAGGGATAAGTAAGGGATGTGTGAGTTGTTTGTGCGGGTTAATGTGCTGTGCGAGGCTTGTCTGTTGGCTGGATGATGGATTGAGATTAGATATTTCCTAGGGTCATATTTTATCTATTTCTTCATTTTCGTTTTTATCTTTTGTCTTTTGTCCCTCAGATGAGCTGCACAATTCCGATATGGTGTGGACTTGGAGCTGGAGGATTGAGGTCGTGTCCTAGATCTTCAGTGGACTTTGTTGCTTGACTAGCAGTAACCGAATAATATCCCTCTTCTTTTATATCTCTCATTGCTGACATGGATTGAGCAGAGGACATGCAAATATATTCCTTTCTTGTGTGTTCATAGCAAACGTTTTTTGTTTGCTCTGAGCATATGCAAACCTATCGTACATAGATATAACAATCTCTCCACCCACCCTGCCCCTCCCATGATGACATCCTTGGGTATAAAAAGAAAAGAATACTGTACCAAGGATAATAGGTCACTTCTTGCACTCCTTACTATATAGTATGAACACCATCGCTATGCTCTTTCCCTCCATGCCAGAGTAACTAATCGACTTTTGCACCTAACTAAAATGGTGCATAGGAAACTGGAGCCGAGGGGAAATAAAAACTAAAAAAAATCAACAAGGGATGCGCAGTCGCAAAACAGACCCGATTAGCCAGAAACGATAGGTAAGAGGACGAATACTAATCCAGAACTTGCTCTAGTCGTAACCCGGCTAGAAAACAGAAAACGGCTCAAATCTCAATATCAACGCCAATGTCCATGCTGGCGATGATGTCATCATCCATCTTGGGCTTCCTAAATGTCGGCAGGCCTTTCCTCTCGGTCTTCTTCTTGGACTGTTGAGGGTTAGGCGTGCTCGCCCTGGAACTGCCATCGCCGTCGAAAAGGGCGTCAACATCTAGGGCGTTCTTCTTCTGCGCCTCTTCCTCTTGTGCCTTTCTGGCTTCCTCTTCTGCTTTGCGACGAGCAGCCTCCTTCTTCTGCTCAATCTTCTTTTGCCGTTGTTGCTCAAGTTGAGCCTTGCGCACGCGCTCCGCTTCTAGTATACGATTCTTGCGGTTGAGTTCAGCAACACGCGCAGCGGCTGTCTCGGACTGCGTAGCAATCTTGGGTTGCGCGTCAGAGGATGAGCGTTGGAGAAGATAGGCGTATTTTTTGGACTTGGCGATACGGGCGCTTATATCAGCGTCGGTCCAGTAGTGGTTCTGGAGCGCCTTGAGGTCGTCGTATTTTCGCTTAAGAAAAGACTGTGATGGCACCTTGGAGTTTGTCTCGGCAAGGGATTGGCGGTAGATATCCAGATCACTCTCGGTAAAGCGCTGGTTCGACATGAATTGGAATTGATAGTCCTTCTTCACTGATCCGTGTTGCGCAATGACGTATTGATCTGTTGCGATGCGTTTGCCATCCTTGCCTTCGAAAACGTAGGGCTTGCCCACGGAGAAGCCTAGGAAATGAGTTAGTTATATTTATGATGTAGTTGTCGACATGCCTACCCTTGATTTGCGCCATCTTGTAGAGAGTGCGACGTTGGGCATCTTGACCAACACCTACACGCCCAAAAGCACCTGTCAGGGCCTCTTCGAAACCTGGGTAGAAGCAAACTTCTGAGAAGAAGCCCCTACCGACGCGCACCGACTCAAAGTCACGTAGAGTTGCGGGTACATCCTCGCGGACCTTGTCTGGTACTCTGTCATCCCACTCAACATCACTCTCACCATCGGCGTCAAGATCTGAGCCGGCGTCCCGATCGCCAGAGCTGGATCGCCTACGGTCACCACGTCGGTCATCGTGTCGCTGTCTCTGCTGGCCTCGCTGCTCTCGTTCGCGCTTGTATGCCTCGAGTTTCTCGTTCTTACGGGGTTGCACTTTGGGGCGGCTGCTTTTGCGCATAGCATCGTCAGGGTCTTCTGAGTCGGCCTTGCGCTTTCGGTCGTTTTGTACGTTGGCAGCACGCCTTGCGAGCTCTGCCTTAAAATTGGCATTACTCATCTCCTCAGCGCGTTGGCCCAGAATCTCCTCTCGTTCCAGCTGCGACATGCCCATGATCTGCCGCTTGTCTGCCTCGTCAATGTATTTGCCCTCGAGAGGATAGGGCACGTCGGCCGCGTGCGCGGGCTCGTCATCATCGCGATCCGAGTCGGATTCGTCCATAGCATCTGATCCGAGCGAGTTTGGCGATGAGGCTGCAGGCGACGAACTGGGTCGAGTCAGCGCCATGGTGCGGTAAGGGGTTGAAATGGTCGGTGAAAGGTTGAACGGAGGAGTATGGGAGGAGGAAGCGATGGGAAGGAGTAGCGAGAGATGGATGAGTGGTGATGGGTGAGAGGAGTACTCACGCCTCGCCTTCTTCTACGTCTGCATCTTCGTCACCACCCGCGAGGGCGAAGAGCTCATCGTCGATATCATCGGCCGACATTGTGGAGTTGAATGGGAAAAAGTTTTGCTGTAGATTTCTGGCCTGTTGCAGCGACAGTAGCGGTGATAATGGGGGATCGCTGAGGATGTCGGGAGGAGATTTGGGCGCGCTTAAAGGGGGAAAAGAGGTGGGAAGAGGAACGTGGGAAGTCCAAAGGTTGGGGAAACGCTCGCTGAGCTCGGACCATGCCGCGTCCTCCGAGTGGATCACTGGTTGCGTGCAGTGAGCGCATCATAGGCCATCTTCCTATTCTTCTGTTCACTCCGTTCACCTTTTCCAAGAACAATTGCGTATTTTTTATTCATATTATTGTACAATAGCCGAGAATATACGTCATGCCTTCTGCAGTTCACTCATCACGAACATTATCGCGCAGCATCTGTCGCAGCCTGCAATACCCAGTCCTCGATTTTCTTGCCCCAAGTACAGCCACTTGCGCACCACGCGAGACACTGCGATTCTCCAGCACAGCATCCACGCCATCCTCGCCACAAACAACAAAAGATGGCAAGCCAATACGGCCGCTTACATCCGAGCAGCGGGAATTTCTCTCTTCGGCATTGCGAGTGAACCAGACGGGTGAGCTCGCCGCCATTCTCATCTATGCCGCCCAGTCACCCGTCATCACACGGTCACATCCCCACTTGCGCCCGCTCATGAAGCACATGTACGACCAGGAAGCAGGACACTACAAATACTTCAACGACGTCATCTCCAAGCACCGCATACGCCCGACGGCCATGACTCCCATCTGGACGGCGGCAGCGAGCATTCTGGGCTGGTCGACGGCCGTGATAGGGCGCGAGGCAGCCATGGCGTGCACAGAGGCTGTCGAGACGGAGATTGGGACGCACTACAATGAGCAGGTGCGGGTGTTGCTGGACTGGGCCAAGAAGTGCGAGGAGAGAGGAGAGAGCCTAGGTCCCGAGTTGGATAAATTGGTAGTTGAGTTAAGACGGATAAGAGATGAGGAACTGGAGCATTTGGACCACGCCGTTGAGAACGATGCCAAGAACGCAAAACCATACGAACTTCTAACTGAGGTTATAAGGGGTGGATGCAGAGGCGCCATATGGGTGAGTGAGCGAGTATAATGCAGACATGAAAAGACAATGGCGCGGGATTTGGACTAGGTTTCTCTGTTTCGTGACTGTATATCACACATTTGCATCACCCCGCTTATTTTACTCTAGAAAATAGCTCATTGCACAGGTTCACTTCGCAATGGGTTCTAAATTTTTTTGGTAATTAAGTATGTACAGCAGTTGTAGCCCAAAATGACTACCATGATCTGGAACATCAGAATACTGCACCTCATTCCAGACAATGCTTACTTGGAAAGCAATTTAACAATGGAAGCTGCTGTGGCATTGTTGATTGAAAAAGTAGGATGCAGCTCGTTGAGCCATAGGTACTCGTTGACAGGGTACTGGCAGCTAGGATCCTTGGTATACCAGGTCGGTGTACCACTATGCACTCGTTAGCTAACATGGCCCGCAGTATATAGGCTGTGATTTAAAAGACTTACTTTTTGTACGCATTGCAGTAGCCAGTAACATTTTTCAAGTCGGCAGTCTGCTTGTAGCTCGCAGGGTTCTTCATGACGCTGTTGTATAGTGCCCACGTATCGTACACAAACGCAGTGGTGCCTTTCTTCTTTGCCTGGAACCTAGATACCATGCTGGTAATTCTCTTATTCCAATCCTCAATGGCCTTGCCCTCGTGCTCTACTGCATATCCACCATCATTTTGCTGCGTGGTCAAGGGTGCGAGATTGACAGGTGGGACGTTGAGGAAGAGGAAATTGCGGCCTCCGGTAGCGTAGATGTCGGTCAGTTGCTTCTCGTACACCGAGAAGATGGTGTCCCAAAGAGCACTAGAGTTGTCCCGCCACCAGCTGGTTCCTACGTCGTTGATGCCGATGAAGAAGGCAAAGAGCGAAGAGGTGGATGTCCAGGGAGCAAAGTCGGGATGGGTGCCATAAGTCGGCAGGAATTGGGATTGGACTTGTTCCTTCATGCTGACTACTGTCGGGGTATACGGGGCTACGAGGTCCGACGAGACGGTGGCACCACCATAAGCCATATTGTACGTTAGGAGAGTACTAGCATTGTAGGTGGTAGTAAGAAATCCGACCCAATTGGGACCGTTTGAAGATGTCCAGCCGGGATATGGCGGGTTGCCGAGAGGGTTAGATGGGCTTGGTTGGGTGCCATTCACATTGAAGCCAGTCTGGGTGTAAGAATCACCAAAGACGAAAAGGTGTTTGACGTTTTTCCATCCGGACCAGGAGGACGCTTGCGCTTCGGATGCAGCGAGGCTAGTGGTTGCCAAAGACAAGGCAAGAGCAATTGATTTAACCATGTTGACAAACAGTCGTAAGCAATATGGCAAGATGAAAGAAGTGGTTACATCCTGGAATTAGCAGCCGACGGCATGTTAATAAATGCGATGGGGACAATTATTTGGGGGGACGGAACGAGATGATGTTGTTGACTAGCACTAACGAGGTAGATTGAATGGAAATTGAAGGTTATATGGCATTACCCCACATTTGGGGTATAAAGTGCATGGTAGCACTACTTTGACATAGTTACGGAAGAATTATGGGAGCAAAGGTACACGGTGCACTAATAAGAGGCTACGGGCGAGGGCGTGATAGACAATGCTAGACCGGAATTGGAAGACTCCAATGGTCCGCGTCGCAAAGGGAATAGCGGGTGAAACGCGACGAGGCGACAGATTCTGTAGAGATTCGAGAGGACATGTTTTCTGCAGGTTTGGCGTACGACATAAATGAAGTTCCCGGAGTCGGAGGGGAACGGAAACCGAAAATCACGTGACCTGACACTGGGAGAGAGTCAGGGTGAGACATGTTCGAGATGGCAATGAAAGAGACGTCGAGAAGGGGGGACCGGAGTACAAAGACGGAGTTGTTCGTCAGCTTATCAAGCCACGAGGACAGGCGAGCCGGATGCAGCGGGAGGTGGACAGCGGACTACTTGGGCCGGCCGAGCAGGCAGCGCGTCATGCGAAGGCGAAAGCATGGAATAATTGTGGTGGCTGACAGTGGCGCAATAAGGCTGATGCGGCGGCTGGACCAATGCAGACCCCGGTTCGCTGGCCGTGCTCCCAGCCGCCGCATACTACTACCAGGCACATGTAAAGTATGTCAAGTATGTCTACTATCCGCGTAGTTTAGGAACATTGCCGTCTGTCACGCACCAAACAATTGCTGTTGAACGCCTGCTCTACTAGATATACCTAGTCGGTGTAGAGATCTGCGCCTCAGCATCGCGACAAGGCACGTACAAGCAGCCACAAAGCTGCTGCACCCACTTGAGACTCGGCCTCGCTGCAGTCCCGCATTCCGACTCAACCTTCACCACACTGCCTCTTGTCGCCCATCCTCTAGGTCCGACAACACCCCCGACCCTACCTGTTCCGCCATCCGAAATGCCCGTCCACTGAGACGCCTTATCTCCAGCCCATTCTGATCCTGCGTTCGCTTGACCGCCGAGCATTGACAGCAAACGTATATCTGACGCCAGCCCCCCGCGTACAGCTTGCTTTTGCAAACCCTGGGACACCACAACCCTGATACACCAGCTACCAGAGTACCAGCGTACCAGAGTAGCGCCCGCCCACCATGGCTGGAATGGAGAACATCGAGGTCCATAGCAAGGTACGTCTCCCACCTCCCGTCCCCCACCCCTGCTGCCCTTGCTGATTCCTGCCAGTCTTACCTTGTAAGATGGGTCAATGTTTCCTCGGGCCACACCATATCGTGGAGTGTCCAACCACACAAAAAGTCTCTCAATTTCGGCATCTTCAAGCACCCCGGAAACGCGACGGGCTCAGCTCCCCACCTGCCTTCCACGGCCACCTTCGAGGCCGGCCCAGGCACCCCCTCCCTCGAGCCACCCGTAACGCGCGGGCGCGGAGCCTCGACGTCGAGAAACGACCGAACCGTCGTCCTGGAAAAGCTGTCAGCAATCGGTCTGAAACAGGTACACTGGCATGGCAAATGTGAGGCCGACACCGTCTCCATGGGCACTTACGACATACCCCCTGGCGAGGGCGGCATGTACGGCCTTGTCTTTGACAACACCTTTTCCAAGACAGTGTCTAAGACGGCCACATTTGTTCTCATGACATATCCAACCAATGCCGCCCCAAAATCGGGTCACCACATGCACTATGCCCAGGCAATGGCTGGAGCAAGTACAACTAGTCTCGCCAAGTCATCACCTTCTATTAACCCCGCTGAATCATCCGAATCCTTAGCGCAAACATCTGGGGACCGACCAAAGTCACAATACGGCCAAAAGCAAGGCAGTCTATCTGGCTCGTCTTTTCTCACCGGCGTACTGCAGAAGAAGCGAAGGAAGCGGAATCAGGGCTATGCGAGACGCTTCTTTTCTTTGGACCTCACCTCGTCAACACTGTCGTATTACCGCAACGACCATTCCTCCGCTCTGCGCGGCGCCATCCCGCTGTCGCTAGCCGCCGTCGGCGCGAACGAGGAAACGAGGGAAATTTCTGTAGATTCAGGAGCGGAGATCTGGCAGCTGCGCGCCCTCAATGACAAAGATTTCCAAATGTGGAAAAATGCGCTTGACCGTGCATCAAGAACAGCAGCAGACAAGGGAGCAGTGGCTTCACCTACCCTACAAATACAAGAGGGAACATTTCAGAGCTTCCCACAAGTCTCGAGCGCGATCGAAGAGAACGAATGGGCTAGGGTCGAGGCATTGATGGGGCGAGTTTCTGGTACAAGAGACGCGGTGCGAAGATTGGTCCAACAAACCGAACCCAAGTCCGCTACAAGCACTACGTTGGCTGCTACCAAGACAAACGAAACTGCATCACCTGCACCATCCGAAACAGAACCCAGCGACTACTTCCCGGAACAAAAGGCTCCCCAGAAGACCTCCTTTTGGAAGCGCAAGCCAAGTAGTTCGGCTGCCCAGAGCCCTTCAGGGCTATCCAACAAAAATGGCTCGTCCGGAGCAGTCCCTCCCCTGCCCCCCCTGCCCGCAAACATCTCAGCAAATGGCACGCTTGCAGTGCCAGCCCAGAATGGTCATGGTACAAGTTCCCCAATGGAAGAACTTCTGCATGGCAACTGCATGGCTCTGCTGAAAGACTTGGATTCCGTCGTCGCAGACTTTGCCAATCTCATCAGCGAAAACAAACAACGTCGAGCGTTAGCACAACCACCACCACTCCCTGCTGTGCCATCACGCAACAGCTTCGAATCAACTGTAGAATCTGTTGACGAGTTCTTCGATGCTACCGATGGCGACGGCAGCAAGTCGCAACTGCTTACTATTCGGCGTGATAGTGGCGACAATGAGCACGAGCGTGGACATGCTCCAAACGAGGACTCGGACGGAGAATCAGAGTCGTCCTCCGAAAACGGAAGCGAGGAAACAAGAGAACGCCCACGAATGTCACTTGAAATGACACCAGCACTTTTCCCTACAAAGCCCGAATCTCTGAAGCCTCTGCCTCTCGACCCAGTTGACCGTCGAGCCACTGTTCCTGCGCCTAAAGTCCAGCCCCCAAGTCTGATTGCATTCTTCAGAAAGAATGTTGGAAAGGATCTGTCAACCATTGCCATGCCGGTGTCTGCTAACGAGCCCACTTCGGCATTGCAACGACTAGCCGAACAGCTCGAGTACAGTGAGCTACTAGATGCCGCTGCAGCAGCTCCCTCAGAAACGGGAGAGCGTCTCGTCTACATGGCCGCTTTTGCAATCTCAGCCTTTAGCAACGCCCGTGTCAAGGATCGCGCAATCCGCAAACCGTTCAACCCTATGCTCGGTGAAACGTACGAACTAGTTCGCGAAGACAAGGGCTTCCGTTTCTTTGCAGAAAAGGTCCTTCACCGTCCCGTGCGCATGGCCTGCCAAGCCGAGGCACAAGAATGGACGTTTATTCAATCCCCTACCCCAATGCAGAAGTTCTGGGGCAAGAGCGCTGAGATCAACACCGATGGTCGTGTTCGCATCTTCTTACATGCTTCCGGTGAGCACTACTCCTGGACCCTGGCAACATCCTATCTGCGCAACGTCATTGCGGGTGAAAAGTATCTTGAGCCCTCCGGTACAATGACAATTGTCTCGGAAACTACGGGCGCAAAGGCTGTATGCACATTCAAAGCTGGCGGCATGTTTGCCGGCCGCTCAGAAGAAGTATTGGTTCAAGCATTCGATAACGCTGGCTCCATTCTCCCCAGCGGTGCAACCGGCAAATGGACAACCGACCTTCAGCTTACATCCAACGGACAGCCGACTGGCAAGACTATCTGGAAAGT